GGGCTCCCCTGACGCCTCTCTGTCCCCCTAGGGTGCTGCCGCCGCACGTACACCCTGAGGTGCAGGAGGTACTGAGACGGGCAACGTCGCCAGACCATGCGACTCCTGCCCAGGAATGTCACCAAACCGCAAGACCCTCCTGCCACATCTGGGAAACGCCACCGTTCAGTGAACACAGGAGTCCGCTGAGGAGCAATGCCACCTGTCAATAAATGTCGAAAATCATCCCACCCAACGTCTCCTGGTCCTTGAGAGGGGCCTCGGGCGGGGGCTGGGGAGGGCGGGGGGCGGGAGGGCGTCTCCCGGTGCCGTCCGCCTCCGGACCACCTCGACGGCCAACTCGGCAGAGCCCCGCGGCCAGGTCACGGAGCCCCTGTCGGCCCCGGGACCCCCAGCGCGTGGGGGGCCGTGAAAGGGGCCGCCGCAGGAGTGTGTACCTCGGGGTTCGGCAGCTCCTGGGGGTGTCTCGGGGCCCCAGAGCCAGTCCAAGTGACGACCTGAGCTCAAGATGTGACCCCTGTGAGGGGGATGGTGGGGACCAGCGCACGCCAGGCCCTGGGCTTGGGGACCAGCACCACCCACGAGAGAGGCCGTGGCCTCACAAAGTGCCACCTGGGTCCGTTTCAGCCCAGAGGTGAGTCACAAGTGGGTCACCTGTCAGGAGCCCTCCAGGTGAGCAGCAGGACGGCGCGTCCAGCTGGCGGGTTAGCAGGCTGGACTCCACCTGGTCCCCAGTGGTGCCACACGGGGGTACACCGTCACGGCCAAGGACGGGCACTTGCCCACCGCGCTGCCTGGGCCACACTCCCTCAGGACACTGCCTGCCCCCGAGTTCCCACAGCAAGTGAGACGTGGAGATGGCTGCCGGGGCTGGACACCTGGACCCAAGAGCGACCGGACTTGGACTTGGTCTGACAGGCTCTGTCACAGGCCGGGAAAGCCCAGCCCTCCGACCCCTGGACGCGCCCAGGGTGGTCCTCCCGGGGCACCTCATCAGCCACCGGAACTCAAGACCAGTCCCCTGAAGGACAGGCCCGCCCGGCTCCCAGCATGTGAGCCCTCTGTGTGCCCGCCGAGTGCCCAGCTCCGGGTCCTCGACTGACCCCGYGCGACAGTGGCAGCCAGGCTGCTTCTGCAGACGCGCAGGGCTGCTCCGGTGACCCCCCATGTCCCGGGAGGGTGGCAGGTGGACTTCCATCTTGACCCTCAAGCTCTAACTCTGGAGATTCCCAGCGAGCGGCACCTGGGGTAAGCTCTGGTCACTTGTGGCTTTACCAGGGCCCCAGGGGAGGCTGAGGGGACGGCCCTGCCCCTGGCCAGGGCTGCCCCGTTGAGCCCTCCGCCCCTCTCATCGCTGCTGTTGACAGATGACCACAAAGTCCATGGTAGAAGACAGGTCCGTTATCTTAGTCCTGCAGGTCTGAGGGGAAAACAGAGCCGGGCCCGTCGCTGTGGTCCCAGCAACCTGGGAGGCTGAGGCAGGAGGACCGAGAGTGCCAAGCCAGCCTGGGCCACCTAGCCCGACCCTGTCACACAAGACTGAGACGGCCTGAGGCCGTGGCCCAGTGGAGGGCCGTCGAGTCCAGTCCCCTCCTGGCACCTACCTGAGTAGAAGAGCCCCAGACGGGGCTTGAAGACAGGGCTCGCGGCAGGGTGCCGGCAGGAGGTTTGGGGAAGAGCCCTCGCCTTGCCTTTCCCAGGGGCCARCGGCCACCTGCGCTCCTGGCTCACGGCCTCCCTCAGCCGTGGCCCATGCTCTGAGACCCCTCCCCGAGGCCCCTCTGAGATGGCACTGGGCCCTCCCAGGTGATCCAGGAGAATGTCCCCACCCCGAGATCCTGGCTCTCAGCACGTGCGCCAAGTCCCTTCAGCCCTGTGAGACAGCAGGCTCAGTCGGGGACCAGGACCCGGCTCTGTGGGGAGGGCATGGTGCCGTCCGCCCTGGACGTCGCGGGGATCACACGCGACACACGTTTCTACACAAACCCGTCACGTACCCAAAGGCCGCCAGGGGCCGCATTCCTACCGACAGGGCTTGGTGTCTGAGTTTGGTGCTGGACACTGAGTGCACCCTGGGCCTCCACAGGACCCCGTTAAGATTAACGTGGGTCTCGCCACGGAGGAGGAGGAGACTGGGCCTCCATCTCCCGCCCCGCACCAAAGACCTCCCTGACTCCCAGGCGGACACTCCAGCTCCAGACGCGGCCAGTGACTTGGTCAGCGGGATCCTCAGAGCTCTGCCCCTGCAGGGGGGAGGGGATCTCTGCAGGTGCTTCACAATTAATAAACGGGCCACCCAAAGGCTTAAGAAATACAAATGGCCAATAAACGTGTGAACGTCTGCGCGGTGGGTGGGAGTGTGAATCAGTACGTCTGCTACGGAAATCGTATGGGGGGCCCTCGGAAGACCCAGCTGAGCCGTCCCCGGTATCAACGCTGAAGAGTCAGCGTTCGGCAGGGACACTCGGCAGGGACACTCGCATTTCACAACAGCCACATTTCACAACAGCCAAATGTGGCACCAGCCGGGTGACCATCAGTGGACAAGATGGTCTGTGTACACAGTGGAGTTTTATTCAGCCATAAAGATCAGCCATAAAGAATGTCCCCTGCCGGTCAATGGAGGGAACGTGAGACCCACCAGGTCAATGAGTCAGACTCAGAAGGTCAAGGGTCACTATGTGGAAGGTCAAGGGTCACTATGTGCAAGTGGGAGAGGGAAAAGGAAACGGAGGAGGCGGGTCTCCTGGAAATCAAGGGAGGGAGGCTGGGGAGGAGCGGTCACCTCCGGGCATGCGGCCATTATGCAGTCATGTCATGCAAACAGTGGCCACCTCAAGCCTGAGATCACAGCAGGACACTGAGGAGTGGCACCTGTGGACGAACCCTGACCGGCGGAGGCTTGACCGGGACAGGAAAAGCCGTGGCTCTCTCGGGATCCGAGGGTCCTCTGGCTCCAGGGGACACACGTTACAGGCCAGGCAGGAGGCCACCTGGCCCGATCCCAGCAGGTGTGCCGGGCGGTGGGCCCTGCCCTGAGTCGCCCTCACAGAGGGGGCTGGGCAGGGCCGCCAGGTCATAGTGGGGCCCCCTTTATATATGGGCCCCGAGAGCCCCCCCCGAGCAGACCAACAGCAACACCAAGAGCAGGCGGGCCCCAGCCCTCCTCCCGCCACGGCCAGCCGCAGCCTCAGCCCAGTCGCCCCGGGTCTGCCACCAAGCCGCAGACGCCATGGTCCGATGCCGCGTGAGGAACCCTGGTGACCGTCTGCAGCAGGGGCCCAGGCAGGACACGGGATGTGAGGACCAGGAGCGGGAGCAGGAGCAGGAGCAGGGGCTGACCCAGGAGCCCGCCGAGGTCTTCGGCAGGACACAGAGAAGCTGCCAGTACAGGCGCAGGCCCTGCTCCCGGCGGAGGCTGCAGCGGATCCACAGGTGCCGCCAGTCCTGCCAGAGGCACCGCAGGCGCTGCAGGTGCAGGTACAGGCGGCGGTGCTGCCGCTGCTACCGAGGTGCGTGCCCACCCGCTGGCCCAGGCCCGCACCCCCGGGCAGGCGCGAGGACGCGGCTCGGGGCGGGAGGCCGGGAGGGAGGAGCCCCGGGGTCCAGGAACCGTCTTCTCTTTCCCCAAGTCTGCAGAAGAGTCAGGAGGAAGAGGAGGTGCAGGAGGCAGTAGTGACCCTTCCGGAAGCCCCGTGGAAGCCGAGTCACCTGCCCCAGGAACGCGAGGCCCTGACACCCCTCCTGTGCCGCACGCCCGAGCCCCGAGCTGCCCAGGAGCCCACAAGCAGTCACCTGCCGAATAAAGACTGGTGCGAACCCCGGCTGCAGGGTCTCCTTTGCGGATCTGGGAGGCCGCCGTTGGGCTGGTCACAGCCCTTCCTAGGAGGGCCCAGGGCGTCGGGGTGATGCCCGGGGCACCGTCCTCCCTGGGGGTCTTTGAAGCCAGGAAGTCCACCCGACTAAAGGGCCACTGTGGAGCACGGTCCAGACATGGGGTGGCCGGGTGACGTGAGCAGCAGAGGGCTGCAAGAGCCCGAGGTGGGAGGCAGGTCGGGTGTGCTCCAGCAAGGACGAGGTAGACCGCAGCAGGGCTGGGCCAGGGCTGCGGTTCTGGTGGGACTCCATCTGCCCGTCACTCCACGTGTGTGAACTCTGCCACCTCTGACAGGGACACTAGCCCACCTAGACAAGTGGCACAGTAGCTGCCGCTGGCTCTCAGATTGAGATGGACATCTCAGAGGGTCATTATGACAAGTCAGTGCTGGGGATGAAATCCAGGGCCTCTTCCTACCAGGCCAGTAGCCCCTGGCCTTGACCTAGAGGTCCTCCTGCCTCAGCCTGCCTCGCAGCTGGCATCACAGGTGCGTGGCACCAGACCTAGCAGGACCCCTCCACGGCGGTCCTGGCCCCTCCCACCCCGCCACCCCGCCACCCCGCCCTGCGTGAGACACTGGGGCTGGGCCTGAGTGGCACCGCCAGTGGGCAGTTCCCCTGTGTCCACCGGGACCTGGGACCGCACAGAGCTTGGGCGCTGCCTTCCGGGATGTTGGAGGACACACTGTAACAGTCAGGAGGGGTCTTGTGTGCGCTGGGAACCGCCCCGCCGCGCCCCGCCACGGAGCCACAGCCCGGCCCTGTAAGGGGCACAGTGTGGGGGTGGACTTGAGGCACCGTGAGTCACTGCCGCGTCAGCGGGTCAGGAAGCCCACCCATTGCCAGCCCCGAGGGGCAGCCTCTCTCCTGACCCTGTCTGCACACGATCCCCAGCTCTCGGCACCCCCGGCGCTCAGCTAAGAGGGCAAGGGTCCAGGCCAACGAGGCCCACAGGGCGGGTAGCACTGGACAGACCTCCCCCGGCCCAGCTGCCCGCCCTGCCTTGGGTGCTGGGGGGGGTGGGCTCCAGGGCCCCTTTGTGATGTCAGCACTCTGTCCGCCTCACAGCCCCTCCACCCCCCGGCCGCCTCCCTCCCTAGTCCAGAGAGACGGCAGAGTGGACCATGGGTTCCCGATGCGCCAAGCTCAGCACAGGCCACGGCACCGGCCAGGGCACGGGCCACAGCCGGGGCCACGAGTCGTCCATGAAGAAGCTGGTGGCCTGCGTGAGCCAGGATAACTTCTCCCTGTCGTCAGAGGGTGAGGAGGAGGAGGAGGAGGAGGAGGASGAGGAGGAGGAGGACGAGGACGAGGACGAGGAGGAGCAGCTACCCGTGCAGGGCCAGCTGCTGCTGATGGAGCCCGAGAGGCAGGAGGGGAGCGCCGAGGACAGCCCGGGGGCCCTGCAGAGCCCCGAGGCCAAGCAGACGCATGCGTAACGCCAGAGGCCCAGGAAGGTGCCCACCGCCGCACTCCTCACCGCCAGATGCCCAGGAGGGGTGCCCGCCGCCGGCCCAGCGAGAACCTCCAGAGAAGAGTCAATAAAATGTCTCCAAGGAGCTCCCTTCTCGGGTGTCGCCTGTCCCCCCCAGGGCTCTGCACGCAGGGAGAGGGCGAGGGAGAGGGCGAGGGAGGCCAGCTCCTGCCCAGTGGGTGGAAAGTGGGCGCCTGGGCTAGGAAGCCGGCTCAGCGTCCATCTCTGGGGCAGGGGGCCTCTTCCACACACTTGGGTGTCAGCCCCAGGGGATCCACGTCTCCCTGGTGGGACCCCGTTGGCCACTCTGAGCCTGGACAGCGTGGTCTTCAGGAGCCCTGGCTTGGGAGGGTGGGTTCCGGTTTCTTTTCTGCTGTGTGGCCCTGCGCAGGTCACTTGTGTCTCTGGGCCCCAGCCTGCCCCTGTCTGCTTCAGGGGGGCCTGGGCCTGACGTGGAGCGCGTCTGACTGAGGCAGATATCGCCACCGGGCTCCTCTCGGCCCCTCTGTGGGGACCGTAGTGCCCCCGTCTTCCCCCCGGAGAGGTCTGCTGCCCCCTGCCCCTGCCCCCCGCCGCTCCCATCGGCTCTGCCGTCCCTGGGTGTCCGCCACCTGGCCACGAGGGCCCTGGTGGGGGGACGGGCTGGGGAGCGGGCATTTCCAGGGAAGCCCTGGGGTCTCTGAGGCCACGCTGGGGCCAGGCCACCCACCTATGACCTGCAGACGGCAGAGGCCGCAGTCCCCCACCGCAGGCCTCTGAGCAGGTCTGTCCTGTTGCTCAGGCCCCGTGAGTCCACCCGCAGGCCCAGGGGAGCCGCCAGGCGCCGGTCACCAGGGGCCCTGACAATGAAACGCAGGCTCCACCCCGAGGGGCAGCTCGGGGGCAGGGGTGGCTCACGCCCGAGGTCTGCGGAGCTGCGGGAAGGTGGAGGGGCCTGGGAAGGAGGGGCGTCCCTGGCAGTGCTGGCCAGGAGSCGGGGGCCGTGGGGGGCCTTCCCAGGGCGGTCAGCACCCCGTGAGGAGCCCCCACAGTCCACCTGCTGTCCCCTAGAGTCACGTTGTCAGGGTCCGGGGGCTGGACGGGGACAGAGATTCTGGGGGCCCCCATTCAGCCCACTACGCAGGGTCCCTGTGCTGCTCGAGGGCAAAGTGGCCCGGACAGGGTGGTCCAGGCCCGAGGGCAGTAAGGGCCCGTGGACGCGGAGAAGCCACTGGACACTAAGAAGTCAACCTGGTGACAGCTCCGAGGGCAGCCGCTCTGCGGAAGGGACCGAGCTGGGTGTGGGCAGCGGAGGTGCCAGGTGCACCTGGGCCGGGCCCTGCTGGGGAGGCTGCCCGAGACCTGGGCGGGTCTCACTGGGCCCTGGAGCGTGTGAGCGAGGACAGCCTGCGGCCACCGTGCCGCAGGGCCGTCTGGAGGCGGACACCAGAAAAGCCCCTTTGTCACGTCCCCAGCACCATGATGACTCCCCAAGGGTGCCCCCCTCCAGCGCCCAGCCAGCACCTGACGGCACGTCCAGCAGCCGTGCCCGCCGACTCCTCTCAGCCACCGGCCCGGGGGTCTCAACTCCAGCCTCAGCTCTGATGGGGGGGCTCGCGGGGCAGCCCCAGGCCACCCGCCAGGCCACCAAGTGACTGATGACTTCCAGACTGTCCACCACCCACTCGTCACCAGGCTGGCCACCCCCACTACCCACCCCTGGGCCAGAGCTGCCCTCCTGGCACCAGCCGCCCCGCAGGGTGAGGAAAGGGGCTGGCGGCCGGCTCCGTGCGCGGGCCCTGGCCACCACGCCTGGCTCTGAGCCAACTGCCGGACCTCAGCTCCCTCCGCTGATTCTTCCGGGTCCCTGTGACGAGTGGCAGTCGCCATCCCCAGTCTGCCAGGACGGGAAACTGGCACCTGACAGGTGAGCGTCCAGAGCGCAGAGGACCAAGGGGCAGAGCCGGTGCAGACTGCTCAGTGTCCCCCAGGTCACTGTTAAGGGCAGAGGGAACGACCCAGGGCCCAGAGCTGCCCCACGCGGGGGCGAGGCGCAGGGCAGGGCTGTGTCCCGGTGGGCCCCCCCTCTGACCTCTGTGGCCACCACCATCAGCCCAGCTGTGGGCTGCGGGGACTCGGACAGCGGGCCTGATGGCAGAGGAGGAGGAGGAGGCCTCTGTCCGGCGAGTGTGGCCCCTGGGACACCCAGAGGCCCAGCCCCCRCCGCCACCGGGCACCACGAACACTGGGCGCTGCCCCAGCCCCCAGGTGGCCCTCACAGTGGACGCTGCCCCAGGGAGAGAAAGGGCTTGAAAGGGAAGGTGAGCCTGAGGGGGGTCCGCAGGGCGCCCAGGGGTACAGAGGCGGAGCTCAGGGGGAGGACCGAGGCCCAGAGGTGACGGGGCAGCCCCGCTGGACCTCCAGGGGTGAGGTGGGGACTGCGGCCTCCCAGCCAGGGCACAGGAGCCACAGCCAGGGGGAGAGGAGAGAAGCCACAGGGCCGGCTGCCCAGCGCAGGACGCCTGGGTGGACGGGTCCTCTGAAGACACCGAGGGGTGCTCAGGACAGCGGACAGCAGATCAGCCAGGCAGGAGCGTGAGCCGGCGCGAGGCTGGGGGACGAGAAGCCGGCCGGGAGAGGGGTGGGTCATCAAGGGACAGGCTGAAGGACAGGGCCGTGTGTGCCTGTGAGTGGACGGACGGGTCAACTAGCTGAGGTGACGCGTGGGTCAGACTCCTGGGCTGGCGGCCGGGAGGAGTCAGGTGGGCACAGCTGCTGGACATAGAGTCAGAGGCTGGCTGGGCGCTGGAGGGTGAGTCGCCGGGCTGGTCAGCTCGGCCACGGCCGGTGAGGTGGCCAATGACAGACCAGGGGAGTGGGCGGTGGGGCAGACGGTGCGCAGGCAGGCTGGCTGGTCAAGGAGACACTGGAGGGACCACACGGAAGAGGAGATGGCCAGCTGCAGCCAGGGGAGGATGTCCACGGTGGGGACCGCCAGGACCCGCCAGCCCTGCAGGAGCGCGTTACTGTGGTGACCGGTCTGCGACACCAGTGGAAGCTCGCACCCTGGACAAGCGCCTCTGAGCAGCACTCGACTCACTGACCAAGGGGCCGCGAATGTCTCAGGGCCACACTGTCTGTTAGAGCAGAAGATGGCCTCCGTGTCCATCAGCTACGAGGGGGACACACATTCCCACCGCGAGAAGCGCTGCCCAAACCGCCCTGTGGTCAGAGATTCTGGTCCAGAGGGTGCGTGTCCAGGAGAGGACCAGATGACCCAGCCCAAGCTGGTGCGGGGGCTTCCCTCTGGGGAGGGGGGTGCTTTGACCAGTTAATCAGGAAGAGAAAACTCAAAGAGCACAAAAGGAAAGGAGGTCCCAGCAGAGGTGAGCCGTCCCGGGAGCTCGCGCTCCGCCCTGGGCCCCCAGGCTCTCCCCAGAGGGGTGGAGGCCAAGCCTGGCCTCCTGGGGGTTGGACCCAGGTGCCCTGCCCCTCAGCTACACCCTAAGGGCCATCCTCCTGCCTCAGCCCCCTGAGTTGGCTCTGATCCTCAAGAGCCTCCTGCAGTCAGGAACAGGGGTGTGGACCTGGGCTGAGAGGCCCATCTGTGGTCTCCTGCAGGTGTGGTCAGGACACTCTCCACCCCAGCCGGGCACTAGACACCACTGGGGCTTTAAGACTGTCCGGAAGTCCAGGATCCCTCCGCAGCCCACCAGGGCCTCTGCTCAGGGCTCTGCTCCGACTGCTGGGCCGAGCTCCTCCCCTGGCACAAGCCGAGGTTGCAACTGGTTGGCGTATCCTCAAACGGCGCCTCCCCAGACCCGAGGACGGAGCAGACACCCCTCCCCAATCTGGTGCCCAGAATTCACTGTAGACCCCAGCAGTACTCACCCCACAGCAGGAGACCCCCCCAGGACAGCAGACCTAGAATTCACTGCAGACCCCAGCAGTACTCACCCCACAGCAGGAGAACCCCAGGACAGCAGACCTAGAATTCACTGTAGACCCCAGCAGTACTCACTCTACAGCAGGAGACCCCCCAGGACAGCAGACCTAGAATTCACTGCAGACCCCAGCAGTACTCACCCCACAGCAGGAGACCTCCCA